TAAATAGTTCAATATAAAGAGAGTTTTTTAAGGCTCATGAGTTTTAAAGAAGGATTAATGGAGAAGCTCAACTCGTTTCGTTATCATTCATGTCATTGTGTGTCATACTTTACAGAAGACATTTCTGAGTTCTCTCTGCGTCTTCATGGTCGCTCTGTTTTCCGTAGAGGTGCAGGACTTTATGTTGCAGTGAAACCTGAGCCCACGTCGAGGAGAAATAAAAAAAGCTCGAGGGTTCAGCCGCCGGACTAACGTTGGCGGTTTTCGTTCCTGCAGGAGCTTCGTGGTGAAACATCACGTCTTCCTGGTGAGGAACTGGGAGCTGGTCAGAGACCGACAGATCCGGATGAGGATCGAGCGGGAGCGAGAGCGGGACGCCGACGGGGAGGACGAGGACGAGCCGCCGCGTCCGTCCTGTGACGGAGCCAATGGGGACGACAGCCACATCAAGTCAGGTCCATGAAGCAAGTGTGTGTGTTAGTTTTCGTTTCTGTAGGTGTTTGTGTATGCATATGCGGTCCAACTCTACACATTTTCATTTCTACTGTACATCTGTGTCTTTTGGCGTCCCCGTGTTGTGTCTTTTCCTTTGCATGAGTGTGTGCGTGTGCGTGTGCTTTGCCTCATTTCTGGCTTGTCTCTCCATATCATACTCAGCAGCGCATACTGAGTGGTTTTCCAACCACAGAGCTCAGCCTGCAGAAATGTTTCCCCGTTTCTGTCATCCACTGCTGGTGTCCAAGAAACCCAGCAGGCATCAACTTTCCCCCATTAGCAGTGAAACCGCACAGTTTCCATCAAAGCCTCGCTGCCTGATTGCAGATAGAAATCAAGGAGGAACGAGGACGTAATTAGAGATGTATCTGTGCAAGAGATGCTGCCTTCGTCGCCTCCTGCGCCGCCTTCGCTAACATGCAGTTTGACCTTTCGCCCTCAGATCCACCAGTGGGGGTGGAGGTGACGGTTATCAGCAGTGACCCCCACCAACAAAGTCAGGACACCTCCAGCTCGCTCACTGCCAGCCCCTGTGTGAGTTCACTGCATCTACCCACAGCTAATGCAAATATACGCAAGAATGAAAATCTGCTTTTGCCATTATTTTCTTAATGCTTTTTTTTTTTTTCCTTCTTCTTCTTTCACTCCAGCCCACCAAAACCCAGAACAGACAAGAGGAGGAGGGAGAGGAAGAGAAACGAGGGGAAGGAGAGGTCTGCAGCAGAGAACAGAGGAGGAAACGGCTGAATGATTTACTTTTGACCCTGCAGCATTCATAAGCTAACAGACAGAGGTAGGCCGAGCAAACAGGGGACGAGTAAAAGTACAGTAACAGCAGCCGGTAATATCGGTTGAATGTCAAAGGATTCAGAGTTTATCACCTCTCAGTAACCTCGTTACTTCTGAGCTGGGCAGTAGAATATTTCGTTTTATCAGC